CGCCGGACGCGCGCCAGGACGGGCTCGGCAGTACGCCTGCGCGCCGCGAGCCCGCGAACTACAAGTCCCAGCAGGCCCCGGGCGCAGCGCTGGGGTCCCTATCCCCCCGGGGCCCGCGAGTTAAGTCACAGCACCCTCTCCCGGCGGGAGGTGTCTCCACAGGCCTGAGCTGCCTCCTGCGGCGGAGCACGCCCTCCGGGCTCCGAGCGCACGCGCGGCCTCTCACTGAGCGAGAAAACACAGCATGTTTAGCACGATGACAGGGACATAATGATTTGCCATTAAAACAATTACTACCAACAAACTAATAAATGTGTAAGTCATTGTATACTTAGTGAGGTTGTTTTAATGGTGCTTAGTTATCAGTAATAATATACTTGTTAATAATATCCTATTAAATAATAAAACTGCCACAGTATATATTATAGAAAAAAAAGATTGAAAAAAGACTAAAAAAAGGAAAAGATTAAAAATGTATGTATTATAGGTTAGTAATATATTTTTAATACAAGATGGTAACATAATTAGTATATATGGTAAATGTAATCATTTAATGTTTATTAATAAGTTACATGAGCATTTATTATATATATTACTGTTGTTACTACTGGATCCAAGCTGTGATGCGTTTTCTCTCTTCCCTGATTCTTTCTCTTTCTCTCTATATAGCACCGTGTATGCAGTAGCCCAAGCCTTCTACACGTTTTCTCTTCGAGAAGAAATGAAGTGTCCAGAGAATGGAGAGAAGTTGACACTGCTTCCCCCGTTACAGCTGACGACCTGTTGGCACTTGATGGTGTTTCCTGTGATGTTCTGATTGTGACTTTGTCATCTGACAAAGGGTGCTTGGGCAAAATGGACTAGGGTCCTTTCTCCAGAGTTCTGTCTTGCTTGCTTCAAAGCCCTGGCTGGGAATCTAGTCTTCAAGGGGCTTTTGGGTAGAATAAACATCAGGTAGAAGGCTCTGATGGTTGGATGAATTTGGTTCTGATGGGGAGAGTGTGGGTCTGTGCTGAGAGCCTGGTCTCTGGTGTCTCGAACTGATTTTACACCTTAGGTTCTCCACTCACGGTTGCACTGCCCTGGTCAAAGTACTGAGCATCACTAAGCCTCATTCATCAAATTTATCAAATAGGGATAATAAAATAAGGCTGCATACATCTCATGGTTACTGGGAGAATTAAACCAGCCTGGTCCAATGATAGTGCTAAACTTAGTGTGTGGCATTTACTATGACATAACAATACAACTGTTATTATTACTGGAAAAGGATTTGTCATCTGGACCTCTCCCACTGCCACCGGGAACAGCTCACCTGCAGTCGGGGTTGGTGTTTCCTCAGAACTAAAACATAAACTTACCTGGACCTAACATTTGCGAATTAGTTCTTTGACAAATCTGTTGGGCTTTTTTTTTCTGCAACTAATTATTTTCTACTCATAGTTTTCTATCTTTCCCATTATATTTTGTAAGTATTATTCCGAGAAAATTTCAGCCACCTTGGGAAGTAATTTTTTTTTAATAAAAAGGAAATGCTTGTGGCCGACGCTTTGGCCACGTAAAGAACCTTCGTAGAGTCCATCTACGCCTAACCAAGCCCGCCTGTCGCTCACAGTCAACAGAGAAAAGCCAGGGACTTCCTGACCCCTGGGGTCTCCTAGGACATATTTCATGTTTCTGGTGAGACTGCAAGCCTACTGCACGAGGCTGCTCTGGCTACCCTGGCAACCACACACACCAGCAGGACCCCAGCGCCCGCTGTCCCCGCCACCTCCTTGGTGTTCTGAGAGCAATAGTCTCCATGAGGCACAGGGTCCCCACCCCAGAGGCTGGGCCCCTACTTCAAGTCCATCAATGACCAAAGACACACAGGAACCAGCTGCCAGGAAGTCTGGGCCCCAGACAGCTGAGCTCAGCGTGAATCTGGGGCTCATGCCAGGGCAGGAGCTGTGGAGAGCAAGCAAAAACCTCCAGCCGGCATTGACTGGACCCTGGGCCCGGAGTCTGGGGAAAGAAGGCTGAAGACTGGCGCCAGGACTCACCCTCGCAGACCTGACCTGCCCACGCAGGAACCCTGTGACCCACAAGCCTATGGCCTGCAGCCCCCTGACTGCCTGGAGCACAGCTAGGGGTGCCAATACCACATCTGGATTCTGCATGGGGACCAGATGGCACCCATCTGGGGGCTTGGTACAGGAGAAGACAAGGGCTCCCAGACCCCCAGCACCCATCCACCTCAGGAAGTGGCCAGACAGAAGGCTGGTTGTGGTTCAAGCCCTGGGTGACTCCAGCATCAACACAGCCTTTCAGCACGCCCTTCTGGCAATGGGGCACGCAACCCCCAGCCCTGGGCCACAGCACCACTGGGAACACCTGTTTAGAAGGTGCAGACACTGGGGCAGGAAGCTGAGCCGGGTCTGCGAGGGACCGACCCCACAGCCCAGGCCACGGCCGCCAGCACGGGGTGGGTGAGGGGGCAGCAGAGGGGAAGCCGGGGCCCCACGGCCTGCCCGCCCAGGCCTCAGGGGGAAAGACTGGAGAGGCTGGAAGTCCAGGGAAGGAAGCGCAGGACAGATGGCCCAGACCAGGCGAAGCGGGCACCCACCCCCTTGCCTGAGCGAAGAGCCCTTTCCTAACTCCCACCAGGGCCAGGCAACGTCACCAAGGCCGTCCTCCAGAATCACCAGGACCCAGAAGGCAGCCCCTTGCCGTGGTCCAGGCTTCACCAGGCTGCCAACAGCCAGAGGGAGCCAGCCAGCTGCGAGCGGAGGGCAGGCGCAGCCGTGCGAGCAGGTCCAGGGGCAGGAAAGCCACAGCCCGGCTTCCCTCAGCTGCACCCACTCATCAAGGCCACACCCCGTCTGTCACAATCCCAAAGATGGGTGCCAGGCTCAGGAGAGGAGTGCGGCCTGAGGGCATTCACACCAGCCAGCACCACAAGGACGAGGTGGGGTGGTTCCAGAACAGTGACAGGTGAGAAGCTGGCAGGAGACAGGCCCCTTGGGGAGCAATCCTAGCAGGCTGGCACCACTGTCTCCACCACCTGGAAGAACTCCCTCCACAGTTCAGCCATCTCCCAGTGACCCAAACGTGTCACCATCCAGACCACTCCAGCCCAAAGGAGAAGCCTTCACCTGCCAGGCACCCGATCCCCGACCAAGGTCAAGGTTTAATGGAAACACCAGAACTCGTTCCAGGGTGACAGCCAACATGCCACTCCCCTGTGGTAGAAGGGAGTCAGAGACCAGACCAGGAGTCATTTTTTAATGGCTGCATTTCAAGAACGGTTTCTTAACTAGGAAAACTCCCCGGGAAGGGGCCGCGTTAGTGCAACAAACAGGAGCCCTGAATGGACACGAGGCTCCCCAGACGCCTCAGGCGGAGACCTTTCCGCCCAGGGCAGCCGCTGGGGGTACCGTGGAGAGTAGCGGGACATGTAGCCCTCCCTCGACCTGTCACCAGGCTGGAGGCCCCCACTTTCCGCCCTGCTTCCGGCTGGGCGCTAAGGCACCAGGGCCAGGGAGCCAGGTCCAGCCCGCAGGGATGGGCAGAACCTGCGCCGTCAGCAGGCCGGTGGCTCACAGCCCTCAACCTGCAGCCCTTTGCTCAGTAGGAAGGCGTCCTGCTTGGGGTCGCGACCTAGGAAGAGCTTCAACATGACGCTGGCATCCTCGGAGCCACCGGGTCTCAGAATGCAGCTTCTGTAGTCCATGCCGACCTGCTGAGGCGGGGGCGGGGCTGGAGGAGGGTCCCAGAGTCCCCTCCCCCGCTCCAAGGGGCAGGGCAGCATCCGGAGAGGGGAGCACACCCAGACACCAGGATGGGGATGTGCGGGGTGGGGGACGCACGAGCATGTGAGGTAGGAACCCCATCCTTCACAAATCCTCAGGGGACCTTCACCTGCACAGGGGTTGGAGCCCTGGCCAGCGTGGCCCCCCACCCCGGAGGGTCCAGGGGTGCCCCACCCCACGCAGCTGCACAGGCACGTGGGTCCAGGCCGGCCTCCCACCTTGCCACTCAGGATGCCCTCCTGTTTGAAGCGTGTGTGGAACATGTCAGCAGAGTACACCTCGCTCCACAGGTAGCCATAGTACTGAGCGTCGTAGCCACCCGCCAGGTGGCCGAAGGTCGCAGGCATGTTGGTCCCTGGGACAGACGTGGACAGGCTCTCGCTGCGGCCCCTTCCCAAGGGAGGAGGCCTCAAAGCAGCCCCATCAGAACCCCCCACCAGAAGAGGGAGCTGGCCCGACATATCTAGAGACCAGGGGCCTTGAGGGAACGTGGCCGCAGAAAGTGAAGCTCTGCCCACTTCCTGCTGAAGCCCAGGGAGCTTCACCCCAAAGTGTCTCACCCATCAGGTCAGCTGCTCACACTGAGCAGGTGGGGCTGGCCCTTAACAAGGAGCCTGCGCTGGCTACAGCGCTCCTGAAGGAACTTTCTAGAAGCTCATGAAGGGGTGAACCACTGCAAGGCTTCCTACTTTATCAGCCCGTGTATCTGTGCTGACGTGTGCTAGTTCAAACCTCCTCTCCCCTTTAGGTCAGGTGCGAAACCTCTCATCTCTTCTGCCGCGTCCGGGCTTTTCACAAAGCCGCCTGTGGAGGGCGCCCCTGCCCCGGGACCCGACCATGGCCCCCAGACCACAGGGCTGGAGGAACCCTCCCAGGAACCAAAGCAGAAAGAGGCCAGAAGTCGGGTGCCTCCTCATGGCCTTGGCTGAAGTCTGCAGACTGGACCCCTTAACGCATCACCAGCAGACCCTCCTGACCCTGTGCTCTAAGGTGGGCCCGGCTTGAGCGCAGCTACCTGGCGTGGCTGGGACCCCAAGGATGTCCTGGCAGAGGCGGGCGTACTCCTCGGCGGGGTCTGCAGCCGTCTGCGTGTGCAGGGCCTGGTCCACTTTGGCCAGGACGATCTGGCGCAGGTTGAAGAGGCCTGAGCAGGAGGAAGGGGCACGAGCCAGCGGTGAGCGGGGGCAACGGGGACCCAGAAGGCCCAGGGGCTGCGGGGTCTCCTCCACCCTGGTCCCCTACTCAGAGCTCTCGCGGGCGCGGTGCGGGTGCAGGTGCAGGTGAGAGGCAGTACCGCGCGGGGCAGGTGCCACGGGGCGGGTGCAGTGCGGGCGCGGCACGATGGAAGGCAAGCGCGTTGGGGTGCGGGGTGAGGAGGGGCGGTGCGGCACAGGGTGACGGGGGGCGGCGCTGCGCACCGGTGTTGGCCTGCCGGGACTTGATGAGCTTGTCCAACAGCTCCTGGGGGAGCGCAGTGCCCGTGCGGTAGTGCTGGGACATCCGGAGCAGCGGCTCCGCCTCCCACACCCAGTTCTCCAGCATCTGCGAAGGCGCCTCCACGAAGTCCCGCTCCACATGCGTCCCGCTGAACATGGCGAACTCTGCCTGTGGGGGCGGGGCGGAGCTGCGGCGGCGGTGACCCCACCCACGCAGCCAATGCCCTCAGAAAGCCCTGTACGCCCAAGGGAAAAGGCCCAGAGACGGGAGTCTGGACGACGGTGCCTGGGCACTTCTTCCCCGGATAACCGCTGGGGTGCAGCTGAAGCCCCGCCTTGCAGCCAAGGAGCCGCCCGCGGCGCGTCCTCCCCAGGCCTGAGTGTGAACTCGCCCCGTCGGGTGGCGCCAGGGTCATTCGACGCCCACCTCTGGTTCCAGCTCACTGCAAACAAGCGTCCTTTTCACAGTCTACTGAGCACCCTGACCTTTCCGATTCTGTTCTGGTGGGTGATTCTGTATCTAAAATGCACCCCTCTTCCACTGGCCAGTGTCCCCTGTGCAGGAGGGCGATGCTGTCCTCTGAGAAAATCCAAGTGTCAGATGAGCTTGGTTTGGGCTAGAGTTGCAGCCCTGCCAGCCAGGAGCTCAGTGTGAGGAAATCCACAACTCACAGCAGAAAAGGTGTCTTTAAACAGAAGTGAACAATCACATGACACTGATGGAACGGCTGTGACAGTGTGGTGACAGTGGCTCACAGGAGCCCGGTCCCCATGTCCTCCCTTGCTCAGTGTCCTCAGTGATTTTAGAAAACAGAACTGCCCCAGACAATGAGAGTCAACTGTATCAAGACTGCCCTGTGGTGGGGGGAGGTTACAGCTCAGTGGTAGAGCATGTGTTTAGCATGCACGAGGTCCTGGGTTCAAGCTCCGGTACCTCCATCAAAAATAATAATAAAAAATAAAAGGCTGCCTTATTAAAAAAAAAAAAAAAACAACCTGAGGGAACCGAGGGGCCATGAGGGTTGCTGGCAGAGGAGTGTTGCGGGAATGGGAAGGGATGCGTGAGCTGACGGTGCAGAAGCGAGAAGAGGTGAGGGGGCGAGAATGGGGCTGAGGGGCACGAGGGCTCCAGCCAGCAGATGGACACATGCTGACTTGCCCTGAGCTGCTGCTGGTCTGTGAGTGGGTGACCCCCTACCCTCAATCATAATGGAGGACACCAAACAGGAGAGCTAAACCTACAAAACTAGGGGGAAAAAACAGGAGAAAATCTTAGCACAGGGACAGACCCTGAGAGCACGATGCTCAGTGAGAGAAGCAGACACAGAAGGACAGTGTGTGAGTCCATGGATGTGAGACGTCCAGAACAGGCCAGTCCGCAGACACAGGGAGGGGCCTGGTTGTCAGGGGCTGGGGAGGCGGAGGAGGGAGTGACTGCAAAGGGGCATGCAGGATCTTTCTGGGGCGATGGAGATGTTCCAGGACGGGCAGTGGTGATGGCCGTACAGCCTGGTCAGGTGCCTGACGCGATCCTGTGCAGCCATCAGAGCCCCGCTCTCAGGAGAAAGGACTGCCTGACGGCGAGAAGGCAGAGCACAGCAGATGGGCAGCCGGTATGCCCCGGAGGCCAGGCTGGGGGCCGAGGCATCCCAGGGTGAGCCTGCCTTTGCCCTGAGGGCCTATGGGGGGAATCACCTGGACTTGCGGGGCCAGTACCTCCACTGAGGGGGGTGGCAGCCCCGCAGCCTCCTCACTGGGCTCCGCGCTCACCGGACCCAGCGCTTCCCTCCAGTTCTCATCACCGGCAGTCATCGGGCCCCAGGGGCAACATTCCTTTCGCCCTTTTCCTTTTTTTTTAAAAGAAAACTTTTAAAGCGTACACTTGCTTAACTAGCCGTGCTGACAGCCTGGTCCCGGACTTCCCGCCACTAGGGCCCTGAGCTCACGTTTCTGCTCTTCATGCGGCACAGTCTGCGGGGTCTGAGGGCATCACCGTGTCCGTGGTGCCGCTGGATGAAGAATGCGACAGTGAGGGGCCCGCTGCAGACCGACCCCCGGCCTCCACCACACACCCACCTGGGAGCAGAGCTGGTGCATCACATGCCCAAACTCATGGAAGTAGGTCTCCACCTCGTCATGCTGCAGCAGGGAGGGTGCGTCGGGGGTGGGCTTGGTGAAGTTGGCCACCATGGCCGCGATGGCGATCTGCCGGGTCCCATCCTGCCGCAGGCAGCCCGGCTGCAGGCCAAAGCAGGCCGCGTGCCCATACTTCCCTTCCCTGGTCGGGGGGAGGCGGGTCAGCCCCTCGATCAACTGCTTTGGCCTGCCCTGCCCAGCTCCTACACACCCCACCGCCCCACAGAGAGCTGCCCACCCGCCCCAGCCCGGCCCACACGCACCGAGGGTAGAGGTCCAGGTAGAACTTCCCGATGACCTGGCCCGAGGCCAAGTCCCTGACTGTGTAGAGTGTCACGTCCTCGTGCCAGACGGCGGCGCCCTCCTCCAGCTGGAAGGTCAGCCCCAGCAGCTCCTGGTAGATGCCCAGCAGCCCGCGGGTGACCACCTGCACGGGGAAGTACTCCTTGAGCAGGTTCTGGTCCACGCTGTAGCGCGTCTCCTCCACCCGGTTCATGTAGTAGCGCATGTCCCAGGCGTTGATCCGCCCATCGAAGTCCAGGCCCCGCTTGGAGCACTCGGCCTTCTTCAGCTCCAGGATCACGGCCCGCTCCTGCTCCCCGAGGGGCTTCAGCTTCTGGGCCAGCTCGTCTGGGGGCGGGGGGGAGAGGTCAGGGTACCTCCTGCGGCGGCCCCCACCCTGCGTCTTCGAAGCCGAATAAAGGATCAGGACAGACACTGGGACCCCGGGAGGGCAGAGTGAGGCTCTCAGGCACCCAGGGAGGCGGGTTACCTAGGAAAGCGGCCACCGCCTGGCTGCTTTTAGCCATGTTCATCTCCAGCACGTAGTCGGCGTGCGTGCTGAACCCCAGCAGGCTGGACTTCTGGGCACGCAGTGCCACCAGCTCCCTGAGGATCGCACAGTTCTCCTGGAACCACAGATGCTGCGCGGTGGGCCACGGGCCACGCCCTCCCCGCGTACGGCTCCTCTCCCACCCAGTCCCGGTGGGCAGGCCAGGGTGGGGCTCAGGCCGCTGGGGGACATGGTCCAGAACCTGGGATGCTGTCTGCTGTGCCCGGTTCCCCGCCTCCCTCGCCTTGGCTGGATTTCCATGCACTTGGTGCTGGTGTAACATGTGGTCTTTGTAAGCCCCAGGTCCTTTCGCAAGCAGAAAGGGTGTGAACCGTGCCGGGCTCCAAGGCCGAGCGCAGAGGGCAGTGCGCCAGGTTCTGCAGCAGCACCACGCAGAGCCACGGGGCTCCGGGCTCGCCCAGCCAACCAAGCTTGTGGGACAGACACCAGACGACACCCGGCTGATTAGTTTACACGGAGAAACAGGCCTATTCAAAGTGGAACAGAACGCCTGCCCTCCCAGTTCATCCGTGGGAAACCAAGCTACAGCCGGGAAGCTGAGAGCGTCCAGCCAGGCAAGAGGCACTAAATCCCCAACCCCAGAACTCCACCCCCGAGCTCTGCCCTGGGCAAGCCCGGGGCCAGGAGGATGAGGAGATGCCAGCCCCCACCACGCGCAGACCAGCCCGCGGATCTGCGGGCTCAGGCTCAACAGCACGAACTCTGCTGCCCCACAGAGAGTAGCACGTTCCCAGGGAGCCCGAACTCCTGTTCCCTGGACGCTTCTACAGGCGGCCCAGCCCCAAAAGTGGCCGTCTCCTCTGGGGCCAGGTCTCCATTTCTGCAATGGAGGTCTCTCCTGGGAGCCCCTGGTCACTGCAGGCCAGGCATACCTGTCTACACCCCAAGAAGGCAGGGACACAGGACTTTCCCATGTGCTCCCCTGCAAGGTCACCTGCAAGGTCGTGGGAGCACCACTAGTGTCCTCGGGGAGGATGATGGGGCTCAGTCACTGCCCCGTCTGTTTGAGGCTCAAAAGGAGAAGCAGACAGTGGCCACATGCTGGGCGTCGAGGCTCTCCCCAGGGCCACAGCTAGAAGGCTGGCCCTCACACCGGAGGCACAAGAAGAGAGGGGCACGCCGGCAAATCCCAGCTTGCCACCGGAGAAACTAAGGCACAGAGGGGTGGGATGGAGGACAAGCTGGGAAGAGGGTCCCTGGGGCTGGGCAAACAGGCACAGAAACCTGGGAGGGCAGAGCGAGCTGGCAGGGCCCCACCGGTCACTGAGCCGCCAGCGCTCACGGGCAGAGCCACAGGGCACTCAGGCAGACGGGACCCGAGGCGCCCCTCACCTCCTTGCACCGACAGTTGAAGGCCTCCTCCACCTTCCTCCTTGTCTCGGGCACGTGGCACTTCTTCAGGAGGGGGAAATAGTGCGGGTACTTGAGGGTTACCTTCAACTTCTCATCCTCTGTCTTCTCCAGTGAGTTCAGAAAGTCTTCAGGGAGCCCTCCTACAGGAGTGAAATCGGGGCTTTGAGAGGACCAGCAGGCCGTCCAGCCGAGGTGGGAGGGGAGGCGTGGGAGCTCACGGGGTACAGCCTCCCACACACTCTGGGACTCTGGCCGCTCACTTCCTCCTCCACACCCCAAAGGGATGTCGAGGGCTCTCCCACTGCGGAGATCTGCTGCTGTTCCCATCAGGACGCCCTCGGGGAGGCAAAGCTACATCCAGCTCCACTGTGGGGACAGTCTCTACCCTGGGACAAGCGTGGTCTGCCAGGCGCTGCCAGCTCCCCTCTTGTCCTTTGTAGGCGAGCAGCACCAGCTCCTACTGAGCGGAGCCCGCGCCCCCTCCTGCAGCCAGCACTGCCGCGATGGCCTCCCACCCGGTCTCTGGCCACCGGCCCATCCTCCAAAGGCAGAGACCCAGGTGCATTGCCCTCAGACTAAAACCTCCAGGGGCCCAGGCCTCACAGCTGAGGAGACATACGCAAGGCCACCGTACCTCCTGCTCAGACCAGAGGCCAGGCCACCAGGAGTCCCCTGGGCACGGGAGCTGAGGGAGGGGTGGAGGCATCCTGGAGGGTCCCCCTCAGGTGGGCCGCCTCGGCAGGCCCCTACAAAGGGGTGCCTGTGACTCGATCAGCAAAGCTCAGCCGTGGACCCAGCCCAGTCGGCGCGGAGAAACGGCCCAGGAAGAGCCGCCCTCACGCCAGAACCGGCACCACCCCTCCTCGGGCGTAAGACCCTGGGACACTCTCTCACTCTCTCTCATCCGGGAGCCAGTTCTCAGCGTTGGGGAAGGCAGAAAAAACAAGAAGGGGCACCACCCCGCGGGGCTGGGGAAGCTGAAGGCTGCGGCATGCACCACGGACGTGTGCACACGGATAAGGATTTCCCGGCCCTCGTCTGCTGAGGGGGCCTAAGAGCGATCGCCCTCCGCACTAGACCTTGGCCCTAACTACCCTGCCAGGGTGAGGCCAGGGCAAAGCAAGCCTGGTGTACCCGCTGTCAAACAGAAGGTGCTCAAAGAACCGCAGGGGCACGGACGTCCCCTTGAAGGGGTCCCTCTAGGCCAAACTGGACAGTCACGCACCAAAGCAAACGAGGACACTGAGGGACCACCCCCTGAGTAAGCGAGACCTCTCAGTCCACGGGTGGACAGAGATCGGGCAGTAAACACAAGAGGGGCGGGAGCCCTTCTGACTCACAAGAGGACACAAACTGACAAAGAGCGTGGAGTCAGAGAATCGTCCACTGATGAAGAACTAGCGGGTAAGATGCGCGGAGCTGCGGTGTCTAAGCATCTCTGGGAAGATCACTGCTTACGAAGGGGAACCAGTGATGCTGTAGGGACGCCTGGTGGAAATCACCTTAACCAAGGGATGAAGACTTAGGAAAAGGAAATGAAGTTTTATACACCTGTGAACACATGTGTATGTGACTGGGAGGGAAACAAGACAGAAACAGACCATCCATGCTTGTGTAAGATGACACCCCATCTCCTTTCCCAGCCGGAGGAAGCCAGCGGGGCTCCAGCTCAGCTGGAACTGAAACTGCAGACGGGCCCCACCCTGCTGGGCTGACCACATGCATCTGGCCGCTGCCCTGCCCTGTGAGGCCGGGGTTTGCAGCGTGTGCTCCATGGGGCTGAGGGTTCATGCTCCGGCACAGGAGGCTGGGCCAAGACCGCGGGGCTCCTGGGCTGGACGGGTGGGCGGAAAAGCAGCCCCATGGGACGGTGAGTGCGAGCAGATTCAGCTGCGGCATCCCAGAGGCCGGCGATCGCCCCAGGCAAATGCTGTTGCGGGCAAACCCCGACGCACAGAACTGGCTTGGATACTCAGCCCCTTGTAGGGCTGAGCCCCTGGGCAGAGTTCAGAGGCCACTGCCCACCGGGCCTGGGTCTCCCCAAACTGTCAACGTGGGAAAGATGGAAGGAAGGTTGTCAAGGCTGAGGAACTGTTCGACCGGAGAGGAGCCTGGAGAGACAGAATTGAACGTGGTGCTCGAGGCCTGAGAGGAGCCAGTGGGACAGAAACGTCACGACGGTCCTCAGGATGGCTAGGGGACCCGCTTGGTGCCCTACTTCCTGCGGGGACGCGTAAGGAGGGCTGGGCTCAGGAACAGCACACACACAGCGTCTGGGGCCCACGGGGTCTTCCTCGTACTATTGCTGCCACTTTCCCACAGGTGTGACGTGTTCCAGAGCATTCGGGGAAGAGAGCAGAAGCTAAGAAAGCCATCCAGGCCCAGCCCCTCTGGGCCCCGTGCACAGCCAGCTGCGGGAGGGCCCAGAGATGAAAGGACAGGCGTCACGGAGAGCAGGCGGGGTCTGGGGGACGCAGAATCTCGGCAGACAGATCACAGCCCTCCCCCTCCCCAGGGAAGGATCCAGAACCCTGGGCTCCAGACGCTGTGAGGGCCCGGGGGTGGGAAGAAGGCCCTCCGCGGCCGGCCCTCGCGCCACCGCGCCGCCTGGCGCACCCAGCTCCTCGCGCGAGAACGGCAGGACGGTCGTGTCCTCGTTCAGGTTCTTGTTGAAGTCGATGCACAGGAGGCTCAGCTTCTTCTTGATGCTCTTGATTTTCTGAAGGAAGGAGGCCACCGTGAGAGCTGGGACATGCACGGGGACAGGAGGGGCCCCCAGGGAGAAGAGGCAGGAACGAGAGGGCTGCGGGGACCCCGGGGCTGGGGTCCCATCTGCTGGGCCCGACCCTCTCCTCTCGGGAGCTACCTCCAGGGTCGGGAGCCTGGGCTCCAGCCATTTTAAGGGAGCTGAACTTTTGTTCTCTCGGGCTCAGTCTGGTTTCTCAAAGCAAAAGCCAACTGAGGTGGGCGAGGGGGCAACTCCCTGGGGACCCTGCCCAGCCCCTCGGCAGGACCGCAGCCCCACAGTGGCCAGAGCCGACCTGCCCATCAGGATGAGGCGGGTGGAGGCAGCGGCCCCATGGCTCTGCCAGGCTCCTCGGGCAGCACCGGCTCCAAACCACTGGCGTGGTGGGCAGCCTCTGCTGGGTGCAGGCCCGGTCTCACTGCAGCCTTGCAGCCCCACTGGCCACAGCTCGGCCCTGGAGGGTGTGGGGCCACACAGACGGGAATGGCAGCACCGGCCAAAGGGGGGACACACTGCTGCTTCAGGAAGCAGAGCAAGGCCTCGCAGGAGGCTGGGAGGACCGGGGGAGACAGGCCCGGGCTGGGGGGTGTGAGCCAGTCGGGAACCCCGGGCAGTCGCAGGGGCTGCCTGGCTCAGCAGAAAGAGAGTGGTGAAGGCAGACACCACACTTGTCAGCCTCTCGGCACCCTCCCAGCCTTGGTGCCCAGCTGGGAGCCAGAGACCCCGCATGTGAGACCGACTTGTAAGAACAAAGTTATGTTTGGTCGAGGCACCCATTCCTGGCACACAGCTCTTAAGACCTGAAACCTCAGGGGCTTTTAGCCCCACCCTCCCCACTTCCCGGGAGGGCACAGGGCTCGGGGCTGGAGGTTCAATCAGCTGCCAACAGTAAAAACCCAAAAGGACGGGGTTCAGAGATCTTCCGGGTGGTGAACACGGGAGGCGGGAGGAGGGCGATGCCAGGTGAGGAGGGTGGTGCCCAGCGCCCTTTCCCGCCCCTCCCCCACACACCCCGCTTCTGGCTGTTCCTCTGTAACAACCTGGGGACCCAGTGTGTGGACTGCTTTCCCCAGCTCTGGGGGACGCTCTAGCAAATCCACGGAACCCAGGGAGGGGACATGGGAGCCTCTGACAGCCCGTCAGCCAGAAGAACAGAGGACGACCTGAGCCCTGAACCCAGGGCTCCGACGCTGTCCCTGGGTGGGTGGGGACAGAGCTGAGCTGCAGGACACCGGCTGTCAGAGTGGCTGTGGGAGAGCCCCCAGGCCCAGTGTCAGGATGGGCGGGAGCAGGTGCTGCAGGTGGAGGAGACTCCAGAGGAGGGGGTTCTTCCTCAAGACCTTCGCCCAGGAGCCCGTGGGGACCGGATGGGGGTGCAGGCTGGGAGGGACTCGGAGAGGGGCTGACACGGCCTGCGTCCCCTCACACTCTCCTTGGCTGGGGAGCCCCTTGTGACCCCAGAGACCCAAGGGCAGACCTTCCGGCCGGGGGCTGGGCCTTCAGGCGGGTGGGCACTTGCCTCCTGCGTGTCCACTGGCAGGTGGAGGCCGTTCCTCCTGCCCAGCTTGACGAGCCGGTCCAGGTACCGCAACGCCTCGGGCTTCAGCAAGTCCTTCTGGACCTTCTCCTAGAACAAGAAACCCACAAGCGTGCTTCTGATGAGGACCAGGCAGTGCTGCGCGCCAGGCCGTGGGGGGGCCGCCGGGGACAGAAGCCGGGCGGCTTCCAACAACGCAAAGCAGCCCCTCTCCCGGGGCCTGGCAGGGCGGTCACCCCGGAGAACCGGAGACTCCGTCCTCACAGAACCTGCCACAGATGTGCCCTTACTGGGAACAGCCCAGAAGCGATAGTGGCCCAGGGCCTCCCACAGGGCGGGGCGAGGGGCGGGCGGAGCCGTCAGGGTCCTGCGTGAGGCTGACTTGACTCCCAGAACCGGACCCCGGGGCACACCGGGCGGAGGGGGTGAACTCACAACCGTCTCAATAAACACTTCAGTTAAAAGAAACCCCACTGCGCTTCCAGAGCCGCCTGTGCCGAGTTTGCACAAAGCTCCCCGCAGCTCCCCCTGCTCCCGAGGGAGCGCCCCGCCAGCTACACGAGAAGCATCCGCAGTGCCCGCCACGGGAGCGGTGGCGCTCAGCCAGATGTGAGGGCACCAACAGGGCGGGCCCTGCACACGCGTGCCCCTCATCCCCCCGCCTCACGGGGCAGGTGGGACGCGCCCTCCGGGTGGCGCCAGTGAGGTCGGGAGAGGGCCAGGACGGCGGGCGTGGAAGGGCTCCTGGAGTCCGAGGTGTCTCAGACTCTTTTCTTTTCTCTTCGCTTGGCTTTGTCATGTTTTTAACGCTTTCTCTTAGAGGAACAGAAACTCACTCACCTGCAGCCACACGATCCTCTGGTACACATCCTGCCTCATGCTCATCTCCACGTCGAACTCCGAAAGCTTCTTGTCCGCCTCCGTGCTGGCCGCCCGGATGTCCTTGGATGGGGACACATGCTGGGGAAAGTCCAGGATATTCCTCTGAACTGAAATGGGGGGACGAAGGGGCAGCTGTGAGGCCGGGCCCCGCACAGTAACTGGCGAGCGCTGGCCTCAGCCCCGGCAGAGGGCTCATCCGCGTCACCGAGTCCTCAGCTAGCACTCCACGGCAGCCCTGGGCCGGAGCACAGCCGCCCACGTCCTCAGGGACCTCACAGTCCGAGTGGGAATGGACTCAATGGACTCACTCACGACACCCCAAGCCAAGGAAGGTAACAGAGCAGCACGGCAGAGGCTGGCGGGACTCGGCGCTAGAAAGAGAGCCCCGGCTGCCGACGGGTCTGCCCCACATCCCGGTGAGTTTACACCACGGTGCGCACTCTGTGAACAGGGTTAGTAGGGCCCCCACATAACCCAGCAATGCCACTCCCAGGGGGACACCCAAGAGAGACGGAACACTGTCCACCAGAAAGCTGGGACACACGCGGTCCCAGCAGCATGATCCGTAATAAGCAAACAGTGGACACAACCCAGACGTCCATCAGCAGATGAATGAACACACCTGTCCCTCCACACACGGGCGCGTCACTCAGCCACAAAAAGGAGAGCAGCCCTGACACCCGCTCCCACGGGGACGGACCCTGGGTGCACGCTGCTCAGGGAGAGAAGCAGACACAGGAGGACACACAGTGTGATTCCATGGATGTGAGATGTCCAGAACAGACCCATCCACAGACACAGAGAGGGGGCTCCTGGTTGTCTGGTGCTGGGGGATGGTGATAATGGGGGTAGAGCTTCTTTCTGGGGTGACAAAAATGTTCTAAAATTAGACAGTGGTACTGTGTGTTCTAAATGTACTAAACAAAAATCTAAAGAAATGTACACAGTATACAAATTCTGTCTCAACAGAGCAGTCTAAAAAAGCATGTCCCTTGCAGTGGGGAGACCTGAATTAAAATCATAGTTTGCTGGCTTCCACGGCTTCAGGCCAATGAGATTGTCCGCAGGTCTGGTGGGTGAGCGGCCCCAAGGAGACCTCCATGGGGCAGTGACCCGCTCAGCTGACTAGACCAAACACAGGGGGCCTCTGGAGAGAGCCGTGAAAAGGACAGAAACAGCCTCTGTCCTTCGGGGATTTGCAGGCTGTGGCTGCACCGAGTGTGACAACAGAAGAGCAGAGCGGGGGATTAGTCCCGGCGGCGGGCTGGGGCGAGGGGGCGCGGGAGGGGCGCCAGGGGCAGAGGTCCATCTGGGCTCAGAGAACCTGACACCTGGCAAAGCAGGGGGCCGAGGACATCCAGGCCGGCACGGAGCCCCAGGAGGAGGTGCAAGGTGGCACGAGGCGGGCACCAAAGGCCACGTTGAGGGCCCCACGTTTACCTCGAGGGCAGTGGGAAGGCACTAAGGGCAGGCCGAGGGGAGTGCCACGGTTCAATTCTAGTTTTCTTTAAAATTACCCAGGCTACTAAGGGGAGACAGGAATCAGAAGCCTCGGGAGTGGGGGTGGGGAAATGAAATCACGTCTGGCAGGGTCACGCTGGGTAAGTGGAATTGCATCATCAACCCTTCAGGGCCTCCTGCCAGGGACGAGGAGAGACCGAGGCCCACCCGCCGCCTGGGCCGCAGCCCGCAGCTCCGGGCCCACAGCACACCGGCCCCCTGCAAGAGCGGGCCCACGGGAGTCTGAGCCACAGGCCAGGGGCTGGCAGACCTGGCAGGGTGAGGAATCAGGGACACGTGAGGATCCTACAGCTGGAACTGAGGGGTTCTAGATGGTTCCCAGAAAAACAACTTTCCTAGAGCTTTGGGGGCGGGGGTTTCCACAGCTTGGAGTTTTCTGCCTTGTCAGCCTCCAAAGGGGCTCCGCGAGCCAGGCTCTGTCCACCTGACCCCACAGAGGAGAGGAGGAAGGAGCCACGGGGTGGCAGCATCAGGTTACCGGAGCACAGGGCAGTGGGAAGGGTGAGAAGGGCTCCAGTTTCAAGGCTGGCACCTGTGCTGGCTCAGGGACAGGAGGGCTTCAAACACTGTCCGATGCTGCCCGCTCTGGGCCCTCAGATGACCTGGACCCGGGGACAGTGTGCAGGCCGTGTCTGGGGGGCATGGAAGAGGGCATAGGGGCACTGGCCACCCTCCAGGCTGCCTCCCGCTGACCAGTACCCACTAGGTGCCTTTGCCCAGTCAGCGCATTTCTCCATCGGCCCCCCAGAGAGGAGGCGGCGTCACCCTGGACAGGGTCCAGGCCTGAGCTGCCGCCTCCCTGCCTGGACCCCGCCCTGGCTTACCTGTGTAGGACACCTCCACATCGGCCAGCGCCTTGAGAGTGTTCTCGTAGGACACATCCTGGAGCTCCTGGGAGCCCACGCGGTCATACACGCGCTTGGTCTGCTCGATGAGTTCGGCGGTGAGCTCCCTGATTTGCTGGGCACTCAGGTCCCACCGGAGATAGTTTACCGCCGAGCACGGTGCCGCCACGTCCAGGGCATCTCCTGCGCAGGCTGGACACGAAGACAGAACCCCACACCCAGTGTGTCTGCTTCAGGCCCAGAATCAGAATCAGAGTAATGGGAAGCAGGGGAGGAGGGGACCACCATTTCCCCAAGCAGATGAGCAAGGCCCAGGGGCTTTGCGGGGACACACAGGGCACCTGGTCCTCTAGAGCACAAGGTGATCCTGTCCCCAGGGACACGCGGGGATGTCTGTGGTTGCCATGACTAGGGAAGGACACTGCTCCATCAGTGGGGTCAGGCATGCCTCTCAACACCCCAGTGTCGGGAGAGCCCCCCAGGAGAGACCCAGCCCCAAACGTCAGCAGTGCAGAGGTGGACATCCACTGTATTCCTGCATTTCACTGAAAGAGTCCTTTGATTACAGGGTGTTACCCACCACCTCCCTGGACGTGGCATTCGTACTATATCACGTTTCTGAAAGAGGAGGACGTCCTGACTAGTGAAACATCCCTAGCCCCCAGTGTTTGGATAATAAATCATGGTCTCAAACGACAGCCATCACTTGAAAACCCTCCTGCAGTATTCAGGGATGTTGTGACCTCACTGACTCCTCTGACAGTTCTATATATGAATCCTATGTTGCCCCGCCTCACAGATGGGAATTCTGAGGTCTGTAGAGTTTGGGGCTCTCGCCATGATCCACAGCCAGCAAGCGGCAGAGGTGTGGTTCAAAGCCAGGCGGCCTACTTTAGCCCCCACACTGTGCACCAGTGGACTGTGTTCGCCCCACCTTTGTGAATCTGCACACCCAGGGGTCAGGTCCTGTTCCCTTCCCAGGGCTTCACCATGCACTCAGGGTTGAAGTCCATCCGCTTTATCGGAGCCTACACCAGGAGTTGGCAAACAACGGCTTGCCTGTTTTTGTCCAGCCCCAGAGATAAAACTGCTTCTGCTTTGACTGAAGTGTGCAGTCAAGTCTAACCCATGTGGTCCTATACAGACTGACCCCTGCTCTCCAATGCCCAGACTCTACTGGGTCCAGCATGGCAGGTTTGGCCAGCTGGTTTTGCCAACTTCTCTGTGCCCCGCCACACTGGCTTTCTTCAACAAGTTTCCCGTGCCAGTCTTTCTTTTCACATCACTTTCTGAGAGGCCACGCAATGGCACCCTAGGAGCACCTGCAGGTCTGTGATGGCCACACCTGTCCCAAATTACTTGAGTGAATGGGGGGACTGTGCACTCTCCCCAGCGGGGTGTGTGGTGCACAGTGAGTAGAAGGCGCTGTTCCAGGAAACACCCACCTGTGCCCCATTTCCCTCTTCTGGCAGGCAGGAATGGAGCGGGGGCCACGGTGATGCCGGACGCCCCCTTTTGAGACCCCCGCCTACTGGGGGTCTTTGCAGCGTGCTGCTGGCTCCAGCCTGCGTTTGGTGTCTCTTGGGTAGGTTTAGTTTCTGTTTGTTTTTTTTTAACAGCGTTAACATTTGTGGCTAGGTCATTCTCTGTGGGGAACCATCCCGGGCACTGCAGGGTGTGGAGCAGCCTCCCTGCCCCAACCCACTCAATGCCAGGAGCCTCCCAGTCATGATGACCACAGATGTCCCTGGACATGGCCAAGTGTCCTCTGGGGGGGGGGGACACAATCACCCCAGCTGAGGACCAAGGACACACATTAGCCGGAAAGAAAAAAAGGCTCTTAAGTCAGTAGAGGTTAGCTTTTTCCAGCCAAATGACTGCTGTGAACTTAGGGAAAATCTTTGTTTGCACAGTATTTTGGATTTCAGAATTGCAGAAGAGGGACTGTGGGTCTGCATTAAATTTGGTGGTAAAGAAGGGCTCCAGGAGCTCAGGAAAAGTGGGAGATCCGCACAAGCTGGAATTGTCAGGAAAACCTCCTGGAAGAGCTAGGATTTGTAAACTTTGAGCAGATCCATTCACTTCACAAATATTTGCTGATTACCACCTATGTGCCAGGGCTCTGAGCTAACAATTCTGCAGCAAACAAGACAAATGACATTCCTTCCTGAGGCTTGACTAACCCTAAGTATGATTTTATCATTAATACAATTATCATCATCATCTCAAAGGGCTGCAGAAAGAACTGGGGGGGGGTTAGGAGGGCAAGAGAAAGTTCCGGGAGCCACCACTCAGCAACCTGAGCGGTTTTCTAAAATAGACTATGCGGCTCACATTCTCCCTCTAAGTGAAAACCGTTCCATTACGCCCCTTTGCCGTTAACATAAACGGGACCCCCAGCTACGTTCTAGCCACAACGACTTGCTCTCCAAACGCGCTACCCGTGTGCTGGCCTCCCTGCCTTTGCCTTCGCGGTTCCCACCACCTGGGACGCTCCTCCCGCAGGTCTTGGCAGGACAGTTGCTTCTAAATGCCACCTCCTCCTCCGAGAAGCCCTCCAGGACCGCTCTCCCTAAAGAAGCACCAACCACTCTAAAGCCCTCGCCTGCTTTTTGCTTGTCGAACGTCCGTCTCCGGCTCTGGAACTGCATCTAGAACTCCCTGAGAGTCCACCAGACCACGGCACGACCCGTCCTCAGCAGAAGCGACACGGAGATTGCCGAATGAGTGAAGAGCCGGAAAAGCTGGTTCATTCATTCGGCAACCGAGGGGGCGGGTTCTGGGCTCACCGACCCCCACCCCCGCCCCGGCCCCGGTCACTCGGGGGTCACTGGGCTCGGCTTTTAGGCCCTGGGGGCGACCCAGGGGGGGCGCCAGGGCGCTTGGGGCGCATGGGACCGGCGAGCAGGAACGCACCAAGGGGCGGCCGGTACCTGCGGGGGGTTTCATGACGAGCGGGTGTGCACCTGCGGTCCCTCCCTCCACCTGGTCCGCGTCGGCTCAGCGGTCGGCCAACACCGTCCACTCAGCGGCCGCAGCCTTCGGGACTGAGATGCCCGCCGCCCGCGCGCCCACTGAATGCTGGGAGAGCGCGTGCGCAGGACTACGGGGCACACACGTGCCCCAGCTCCGCCCACATCCCCGGGGCGGTGCTCCAAGGCACTGACTCACTCTGCGCACGCGCTGGAACCACCCCTGCTCGTCATTGGCTCCCGGTGATAAGGGGGCGGAGCCCTTGAGGAGGCCTGGGAGGTGCGTTTCCATGGAAACCTACACGCAGCTGGCGCCTCGGAGCCTCCATGTGGTTCTTTCAAACAGTAGTTCGCCTTAGGCTTCTAGCTCTTGTATTGATTTGTACTTGCCTCCTTTCTACCTCAATTGTGTATTTGGCTAGTTTTGCAAGTTTTCTCCCTCATCCAAGGTCCTCCGTTAGTGATCGCTTACCACATCTCAGGCGCTCATCCCATTCCCAGCATCCTGCCCAGGTTCTTAGCATCTGATGAACAGAGAAAGTGAGCCACATTTGTCAGCTAAATTCAGTTAATCAATTAAATTAAACACATACTTCTTTAAAATCACAAATGTAAGCAAGTAAGTATATCGAGAAAGCGTCAGTAAACGGAGCCAGGACCTCAAACAACAGGTGTTTTGGAACAGCGCAACTGCCTGACCTATATTTAGTGTTGTCGGTTAGAACAAAATCTTGAACCGTCTAAGGCACCTAGAAAAAAAAAACGAGAATTAAACTGGCTCCCAAACCCACCTCCTTTATTTCTGCAAAACAAATGAAAATAACCAAGCATGTTACACGTGCTTGCGTTTTAAGTAGGATAAAAATGAATTGGGAGAACACTTCTGGCAACTTAAATGTTAATGGCGGTCATTAAATAGGGAATTTCTCATTACCCGCCCTTGATTTTTTATCTCTTTAGGACTTCAACCTTTATTCTACGTTAGTTTTCATTTTCGCTGTTTCCTGTACCTGGAGCGCTTCCTGCCCCCCCACCCCCGCCCCGCAGCCCAACCCCTTCTCCAAATCCACACATGACAAAGAGGCCTTCCCTAACTATCCCAGCCAACTTACCTCCCCAATCACAATACCCCATTTTTTCCTTCATAGCGCTTGCCATTAAGTAAAATTTGTTCATTTGTGTACTAGCTTACTAGTTTATAGTTTGTCCACCCCAATAAAAGATAATGATAGCAAGCATTTCTCTGGTCTTTATAGTTGGTGTGCAATATTTGTTGATTGTTAGGCATCTGTTGTGAACAAATATCTCTGTATTGCTCTACTCTTATGGATTGAATGAATGAAAGAATGCACTTGTGGGTGGATGGGTGGATGAATAAATGAACAAAGACGGTGATTGAGTAACAGTCGCTCCCATTTAAAGAGCGCCTGTGATGCTCTGGGCGCCAGAGACCCAAACGCAGCTGCACCACGTGGCCAACTCGGCACCACGTGACGGGCTCTGCCAACCAGCCAGAGTCCACCACCGTCCCACCATGCACCACTCCATCCCGGCTGTAGAGGACGAGTCAGTCCTGATTTCCGGCCTTCGTTCGGTCGCAGAGATCAGTTGCCTTAACGACCAATTCGGCCCGGCTTCTAAATTGCGTCACTTCCTTTCACTCCTGCCTCGATAACTGGCACGCTTGCGCAGAATGAGCGCCGGCGGACGCTTGCTCCTTCCGCGCAGGCGTCCCGGCGGGGGGCGGGGCCGGGC